CTCTTATGCTGAGGGGAGACCGAGCTGTGGAGCCGCGAGGTGAAAAAAAACTTGTAAATCCCTCTTTTCCCGCTTTTTTGAGGCGCGGGGCCGTTTTGGGGAGAGAAAAGGCGTTTTAGGGCAAAATGGGGGGTTTTTTTGAGGCTCTGAGGGTGTCTCTTCTCCCTGGGGGGGCTGGTTCCTGTGCTGGGGAGCGGCAATAAAGCAGCATCTGTTCGGTTTTCTTTGGTTGGTTGTTGTATTTTGAGAAAGATCCCGGTTTTATTTGTTGTGGGGGGTGAATCTTGTGGTCCTCGCTGCCCCTCTATGATAAGATGTTCTAAACCTTTAATTCCTTCTTTATTTTTTCCATTTCAGTGTTGGATTCCTGTTTTTAGTGTTAAAAACCCTTCAAATCCCTCCCTGACTGGCGTTTGATTCCTGTTTTTAGTGTTAAAAACCCTTCAAATCCCTCCCTGACTGGTCCTCCCGTGTCCCAGGGTCACTAATTTTAAACAAAACCCCCTTATTTCAATGGAGAAAATACCAATTTGGGGGCAGCTCACCTTGCTGCTCCACCCTCTCCTACCCTGTCCCCAAACCAGGAGCTCCAGGCTGTTTTTATTAACGAAAAAGGTTCCTTTTTCTGTCAACTGCAGGTTTAATTTTCCCCACAGGTGGGTTTTAAGGTGTTTCAAGGCTTTTTAAAGAGCTCAGAGCTGATGGCAAGGTGTTGGCTGGAAGTCCTGTCTCCTCTTGCAAGGTGCAGAGCAGGCAGCTCTTCAACTCTCCTCATGCAGCTGCTTAAATAATGCAAAAAATACTGAAATAATGAGGCAAAAAAAAGTCCTGAGTTGATAAATAAGAGTGAGGGTGTGAGTGATGTACTGAGATGCTGCTTTAAACAGGGGTTGCTTGAGCTTGGCAGGGCTTGGTGAGGTGGTTTGGTAGCAGAAAGCAAAATTCAGCACCTTAAACCTTAGTAGAAAAAACTTAATTTAAGCGAAATTGGAGAAATAATCTTATTTTTCTTGCTGGGTGGAGTTTTACTTCACTCTATTCTGGGGCTGTAAGGGGGAATTTCTCTACTGATACGTGGCATAAGGGAATAACAACCAGTTAAATTTGAGTTTAGTGAAATGTGAGGCTTTTCTTTTCCTTAATGCTGTTGATTTTTTGCCTAGAATTACTTAAAATAGTAAATAGGTGGAGAAAATCAGGGCAGTGCTGCTGCTTCCCACATGAGCTTCCCTGGGGATGAAGCCTTTATTTGTGAACAACCCCTGGCAGTTGATTTACATCTTCACCTCAGCCACAGTTACTCCTGATTTATTAAAAAAAACCCTGAAACCCTAAAATTTTGAAGTCTGAAGAGCTTGAAAGTGGCTGAAAAGAAACCCAGAGCCTTAAAATAGTGAATATTTTTTGGCACAGTGATGGGGATGACACCAGGAGAGGGGCTGCCCTGCTTAATTATTTCTCGCTAATGACCTCACCTTGATTGGGGATGATGGTGTGGGTACAACCAGCAGTGCCTGCTGCTCAAAACTGCTGGGGAAAAAAGCAGGTTTGGGGTCAAATGAGCTCTTCAGAACTTATATTTTTGTGCTAGAGGGTGAGATGCTGCTCAGGGGTTTGTTGATGTGTCACTTGGCTTGAATAAGGGGCTGGTTTGGGGGGGAATTAGAACTTTTTGTGGTGGTTTAATGGGTCATCTTTTTTGGGGGGGAGGGATTTGGGGCATTTTGGTGGAGGTCTGAGGAGCTTGATCAGTTTGGGGGGGGTTCCCTGGGATTTTTTGGGAGGTTTGTGGGTTTTGAGGGGTTGGTCTTTTCTTGGGGGGACTTGGGGGTGTTTGAGTTGGTCAAGTTTTGGGG